AGAAAGGTTACAGAAGATCGATGCGTCGAGAACTCCACAGAAACGCAATCACTGCAGCACACACCATCTTGTCTCAGGCCAGCGTGCAGCAGACAATAAATAGATTACTGCAAAACCGGCACTTTTCGGGGCAGGGTCTCAGTAACTTTGGGAAAAAACTTCGGTTTTCTTTGGTTTTATTTATTTATTTTTAATAATTAATTTATTTTTCCTCTGGGGATATGCTTGAAAAGTTGTCCTCTCCAAAAAAGCAAAATAAGCACCTGTGTGTCATCAACAACAAGAAGTCAATTTAAATAGAGCAGTTCATTTTGTCTTTCAAGTCACAATAAATCCCTAACAGCTTTTCCCCAGCGTTTGCCATCTAGTCTTTTATTAATTTTTTTATTTTTATTTTTTTTTAAACACAATGTACAAAAATAGAGCTTCTTCCTTATTTTTAATGTAAAAATATTCCTCTGGTGCAGTTTTTTTTTTGTGGTTTATTATTGTGACATTGTTTTTGTCTACTTTTAACTGGGGTTGGTGGGTCGTATTCTCTTAGTCCTCTTGGTGACTGTTGTGTACTTGAAAGGTTTCTGTATCTCCACTTGCCCCTTTGGGTACCTCTTCATAAAATGTACATCTTGCTGGTTTTCCCGGGTCTTGGGCCCTTTCCGTGGCCTCCCTTTTTTGGTGAATCCAACATACCAGCCTGAATATTTTGCTGACATCAGTGCCGTATAGTTGTTTTCTAGGACTTTTTCAATGAAGACACACTCCTTGCTGGTGCCATCAGGCTGAAAAAGGCAAAAAAAAAAGGAAAAATGTATTATCCAAATGCAAGCTCAGTGACCAAAACCCAATTTGGCATAAATAAAATCACATCTGGACCTTGTTTCTGGTTCAAACGTTGTTAATAGGAGCTGTAACAAACATCAGCTGAAATAGAAATGAATTTTTTTAAAAAGCATGAAAGCATGAGGTCATAATTTCATTTTTTTTAAACACTCTTATCCTAGGAGAGAAATATTTTTCAAAGACAACAGTTAAGTTTATCCAGCCCAGCTCCTCCAATTGCAAGCAATGCAAGACACTTAGCTTTGCTTTTTCCATTAGGAAAGGAGGATGAATTGAACCTGTGCCAGGGAAACATCATACTTAATCAGAAGAAAATAAAAAAAACAGAATCTCATATAGGCCAAACAACAGCGTTGCCACTTTTACCGCTCAGTTTTCATATGTTTTCTGAAATACCTCATGGGCTTGCATCCATAACTACTCAAATCCCACTAAAATCATTACAAGCCTTAGGCTAAGCCTCCCCAGTGCTTTGAAAACTCTCCCCCACAGCATCCCAGGCACACTACCTGGCAAATAAGCAGTGCGTGGTGCTCCAGGGCTGAGCCGGTGGGGTGCTGCAGGCATCAAGGTCCCCAGCCCCACTCGAGTCCCTGAAGCCAACCTGTTATTTCAGAGTCGCACTGCACACCCAGGCTTGCCTCCAACTCACACCCCTGAGCACCAGCCGCAGTGGAAACCCAGACAAGCCGGCATCCCACTGGTATCTGGATGCGACTGCAGCTGGAGGACTGTGGGGCAGCAGTGTCCTCAGCCACCAGACGCACCTCAGCTCCATTGCCAGAGGGGGTGATGCCAGGGCCCAATTTTACACCTCTACTCTCTCAGGGCTGGTTTTAATTTGGAAGAGGGTTTCATTTCTAGTGGCAAAGGGGACATGGTCCTTCCCTTTTCCCCACCTTTCAATCTCAGCCTAAAAGCAGCCACCCAAGTACCTCAAGCCATCCCTCAAGTACCTGGCTTAGGAAACCATGCCCCTAAACGACATTCTTCCTCAGAGGGGGAGCCAGGATTAGACACAGAACTGGAGGTCAGGAGCTCCTAAGCCTGAGTGCTGCTCCCCAACAACCTTGCAGCAAAATGTCCACTCTGCTAGGGCCCCTTTCCTGATGCAGTCTAGTGCAGACTCACCTCCCTGACACTGCCACAGGCTGCTCATTTCCCAACTGCTTGTGGGTTCAAGATTTTGGCAAACAGGGTGTATTGGGTTGGTGTGGCCAGGTTTTGGTAGCCGAGGTCTACAGAGGTGGCTTCTGTGAGAAGCTGCTTGAAGCTTCTGCTGTTTGAGACAGAGCCAATGCCACCAGCTCCAAGAGGGACCTGATGCTGGCCAAGGCCAAGTCCATCAGCGGCAGTGGTGGTGCCTCTGGGATAACAGATTTAAGAACAGGAAAAAGTTGCTGCACAACAGCAACAACAACTGAAGACAAGAGTGAGAATATGGGAGAGAAATAACTCTGTAGACACTAAGGTCAGAGAAGAAGGAGGGGAGGGGGATGCCCAAAAGAGGCTGTGACCCCATGGGAAGCCCACACTGGAGCAGGCTCCTGGCAAAACCTGTGGACTTGTGGAGAGGAAGGAGCCCACACTGCAGCAGGTTCAGTTGTTAGGACTTGTGACCCTTTGAGGGGATCCACGCTGGAGCAGTCTGTTCCTGAAGGACTGCACTCTGTGGAAGGGACTCATGCTGGAGCACTTGTGAAGAACTGTAGCCCTTGGGAAGGACTCACATTGGAGAAGTTTGTGGAGGACTGTCTCTCGTAGGAAGGACCCCACGCTGGAGCAGAGGAAGAGTGTGAGAAGTCCTCCCTGAGGAGGAAGGAGCAGCAGAAACAACGTGTGATGAACTGACTGCAACCTCCAACTCCCATCCCTCTGTGCCACTGGCAGGGAGGAGGTAGAAGAAATCTGGAGTGGAGTAGAGCCTGGGAAGAAGGAAAGAGAAAAAAGAGTGGGGGGAAGGTGTTTTAAGAGTTAGGTTTTATTTCTCATTACCCTACTCTGATCTGATTGGTAATAAATTAAATTGATTTCCCCAAATTGAGTCTGTTTTGCCCGTGACAGTAATTGGAAAGCGATCCCTCCCTATCCTTATCTCGACGCACGAGCCTTTTGTTACATTTTCTCTCCCCTGTCCAGCTAAGGAGGGGAGTGACAGAGCAGCTTTGGTGACATCTGGCATTCAGCCAGGGTCAACACACCACACGGAGCTCAGCTCTGCTTGGAGATCTAGACTAACAGACACAAACTTCGAACACAGCAGCACACAGATCTTGGGCATCGCACAACGGCATCTTTAAGTGGTTCAGCACAGGGGAAATTTTTCTGACCTACAAACTTCTGCCAGAAAATCTGTTTTATCCTTTAACTGCTGAGTTACTAGTGCTGTACCCAGAACGCCATGCACTGTTGAGTGCACCAGCACTTTGTTTTATGCATCAAAAAATATTAGGGAGTAGATACAGGCTCACTTCAGCCCTAGATGTTGCCTCAGCTCTGAGTGTTTTATGGATTGTGCTCCCCTGCACCTCTGATCCCCAAATAACCACATAGAAGCTACAAATGGAGCTGAGAGATGGGAACCATCAGGCACAACAACCCAAGCTGGAGTCAGGCAGGCAACGCCAGGGGAAAGCTTCATCATTGCCAGCCTCCAGGACCAGGCAGCCCTCCCTGGCTTAACACCTTTAGCAGGACTTCAATTCAATCAATGCAACAATATGGGATGTTTACCCCAGAAATGGGTAGCTCCCATTAAGAAGGCAGAGAGATCACAGCAACTTCTGTATCAAACATACTAATATGTATGTTTGCCCCTGTATGGGGACAAAGCCAGCTCTGCCACAGGACTGGCAATCGCCACACTGGGCTAGGCACAAAGGTCCTAATTTTATCATCTACAGTTGGAAGCTCACAAACACTTTAATGAATGGCAGAATTGGGCAAAGTTCAGGGTTCCAGTTCCTGGGGGTGTCGTTCTTCAAGCCCTGGGTTTGATCAAAGCCACATGAGTGGGGAAGGGGGAAATCAGTCAACTCCATGGGGTTCCACCAGGTTTCAATGGGAAGCCATAAAACTAGCCCCAGGTTTCTCAGGGCTCAGCCCACTGCAAACCCTTCCCCAATGAATGGAGAATTTTTAAACAATGCCGTGGCTGAGCTTCAAATCCACCCAAACCCAGGTGCTGATGAACCGACCGGATCCGTACCGCAGGGGGAGCAGGTAATTGGAAGGGTCGTTTTCCCCACACTCGTGGAAAGATCCTGGATTTGAGCCCTGACCTTGTTGCTAGGAGAATTAAGGTGTTTTCATGCAATTTGGGAGGTTTCCGCTTGTACTGCAATGTGAGTTTCTCATGGAAAATGAAGACTGGAATGAAAAGAAAATGTGTGTGTAGGAGGGGGAAGTTATTCTATTAATAAAAAAGTATTTACTTATACCTTCAATTTTGCCAACAGAGCCTAAGACAGAGACAGGAGGTGGAGGAATAACAAGGTGCAACTTCAGGCCAACCTCAGGGCTAATTTGAAGTAAACAAGGTACATGAGATAAAATAACTTTGTTCTGGAAGAGGAAGAGCTAAATGATTTGATAACTTGAAATTACAGTAACATTTACAAGTACCTTGAGATAAATGAGGATAAGGACCTCACTTCCCCAAACAGAGCATTCCTGTACATGCTAAGACACATCAGAGACAGACAAATTATTTTCAAATACTTACAAGATGATTTTACAGCATCTGTTAAGATACTCGATAGAATAAAACACTTGCACACGTTACCTACACCATGGAGTGTTGGACCCATGGTAATCTATTAGGGGGAAAAGCAATATATAAGAGTTTTCAATAATTTTTAAGTATTACCTTGTTTTCACCAGGTGTCCATCACTTAAGGTCTATTCATGTCCCTATTTAAACGACAGCAAAGCACACACTGGATCTGTTGCCCATCCCCTCACTCCAAAGACAGGAGGATGGAAGAGAAAAGAGAGAGGAGCATCACTGCCTGCTCCAGCCGCCTGCTCCCCCTTCCGCAGGAGCTCCCAGTGCCAACACCTGCTGCCAACACGGGGCTGCACCCTCTGCCGCCCATGTCAGCCAGGAGGTGCTGCCAAGCCACATTTCATACAAACTGAGCTGTCAGGGTGCACCTTGCAGGGCACTTGCCCTTCAAAATGCAGAGGTTTATGTTTAAAGAAGAGTCCCACAGGCAACATTTCCAGCCAAGATCCTTGCTCAGGATGAGAGGCATGGCAGAGGCACAACTTTGCTCCTGCGAAAGGTACAGGCTCTTCAAGTCAGCTCTCTTCAAGTCAGCACCTTCTTGTAGCTGTGACAAGCGTTTTGCTCCCGAGAGCTGCTGCCTGGGCATGTGACAAGGCCGTGCCACCACAGAGGCAACAACTTGCAGCTCAGTTCTTTGCACAGAAATGATTCAGAGCATTTTTTGTTTAAACCCACCCCAACAGCCGTGGGAAGATACAGCAGCTGCTAGACAGACTTCTGAGAAACATATTATAAAACGCTTGATCTAAACGCGACCTTCCATAGAAACCCCTCGGGCATGCCCCATGCCTGCGCAGAGGCGAGGGAAAGCACAGCCGCACCAGTAAAGCCTGAGCAGCACCAAGCACTGGCTCTGGTGGGTATCCCCAGTAGCTAGGACCAGCCCCGGCCACACCAAGCCACTGCCCAGTGATAAGGCAGTGGACCCCAGTGGCCTCAGTCCCTTTACCAAGCAGGGTCAGAGCAGCAGCAGTTGCCCGAGGCTCCTGCTTTGGAAAGGGCTATCTCGGGCATGGAGCTGTTCATACACCACGAGCCAACCCCATCCCATGCACAACGGAAGGCAGCGGAGCCAAACGATCTCTCCGAGTGCCCCGAGCTTACCAAAGAGCAGCACCGGATTGTTTGCGCAGAGCATTTGGTGAAGGG